CACCCCCGCGATGCGCGGGACAGCGACACCGGCCCCGAGCGGCCCCGCTCCGGTCCCCGACACGGCGGCTCCACCGACCCCCGGCCCCAGCGGCTCACGGGCCGCAACACGCTCGCCCTCTCCCCCGCTCGGCAGCGTCATCACAGCACCGGCTCGTTCCCCAGTTTGCACAGCGCGTTCACGGATTTTTTCCGTTTCCGAGGCCAAGGATTCTTATTGTTTTATTTTAATTTGTTGTTTTATTTTAGTTTGTTGATTTATTCTGGTTTATTGGTGTACTCTAGTTCGGGTGGTTGGCATAAAAAGCCGGCTCCCCGATTATCAAGCCTTTATTTATGCATTTTTATGAAGGCATCAGGATTGCTTACAAATGGCATCACTTTATTAGGGATGCTAACTCTGAAGCAAGCAGCACGGTGCCTGTGGGATAACAGGCCACATAACTCTCTCAGTCTGGCCTGAGAAAGTGGCCTGGGAAATCATGGGGAGGAATTAAAACAATCCTCAGAGATAGAAAGCAGCCTTGCAGGTGCTGTTTGTCTGTTCCTTGTTTACCTGCAAGAAAAGGTCGAGTGGTGGTAAACCCCACTGACCAATGATGGTGATGTGTTAGTTTACTAATCAATAAGAGTTTTCTTTTCAGTACTTTTCACGTATCAGTCTATAAAAAAGACCTGAAGTAATAAACCGAGAGAGAAAATTCTCCAGTTGGACTCCACGGGAGAGTCTGTGTCGTTCTTCTCACCATTCCCAATAGAGTGACACTTGATTAATTAGGATTCAACCCCTTATTTACTAGTTGTATCTCTCGTTTCCCGTGCTGGTTCTTCAGCCTGTGCTGGTTGTCCCTCCGCTTGGGCCGGGGGGTTATGGGGAGTAGGTGGTCAGTGGTCAGTGGTCAGTGGTCAGTGGTCGGTGGTCAGTGGGTCAGTGGTCAGTGGTCAGTGGGTCAGTGGTCAGTGGGTCAGTGGTCAGTGGTCAGTGGGACAGTGGTCAGTGGGTCAGTGGTCAGTGGTCAGTGGGTCGGTGGTCAGTGGTCGGTGGTCGGTGGTCGGTGGTCAGTGGGTCAGTGGTCGGTGGTCAGTGGTCAGTGGGTCAGTGGTCAGTGGGACAGTGGGTCAGTGGTCAGTGGGTCAGTGGTCAGTGGTCAGTGGGTCAGTGGTCAGTGGTCAGTGGGTCAGTGGGTCAGTGGTCAGTGGTCAGTGGTCAGTGGGTCAGTGGTCAGGGGTCAGTGGTCGCGATGTCCCACGGCTGCAATAACCTTCCCCCAGTTTCTGCTCAGTCCCGCCGACCTGTCCAGAGCCCCTTTCCCTGGAGATCGCAAACCATTTTCCTTTAAACAAAATATAAGCGAAGGCTCCGAGTTTCACAACACAACTGTTTATCTTCGCTGCCTGGCTGCACTTTCTAATTACTGATTAAAAAATAGAAAGTTTGGTTGTGCTGCGGAGGGGCTCGGGGATTATCAGCGGCACCGCATGGGCTCTGCTGTAGCGAGTGTGAGCCCCCCAGAGCAGGAATAAATCCCCACACACAGCCTTGAGCTGCCCGCTAAGTGAGGGATTGAGGCCGAGATCTGTTTTTAACCACGAATAAAAAAAAAGGGCCACAAACCACTCAGCCCGTGTTCTCTCCCTCCCGAGCCCCAACAACAGGGCCGGGAACGGTCATCAATGGCGAGCGGCCCCTGCCCAGGCAGCACCGCCCGCCCGCTTCGCGCTCAGGAGAGAACACCCTGCTCCTCCTCGTGGCTTGTGACGCCGATCAGGTGCGATCACTCTCCTCTAGTGACCAACTACAGAAATGATCCCTGAAAGTATAGTCT